AAAAGTTTCACGCATGAAGATTCGGTTTCTGAAGAGAAACAAACGTACAAAAACTACACGTTATGGACCATCGAAGGACCAGGAGGCAGAGCCAGGCGAGGCATGGAAAGAAGACGGCGTTTGGCCGGCTACGTACCAGGCGACGCAATGAGAGAATCGGGTTAAAGCGCGCGATTTCGGAGAGTGGAGACAAATCGATCGATGGAATAGGATGGAGTAGAAGTGTAAGATGTGAATGCAACGAAGCAGAAGGCCAGAAAGAGCTTCTAGTGAATGCACTCCAAGAACCAAGTTTGAGCATCCCCGTCGCCAGCATTCGTGAAAGACGTCCGTGGGCAATTCGAACGCGTAGCAGCCTTTTCGAGTTTTCGAATTTCTAATCAAAACGAAAGCAATACTTCAGTTCTTTTCACTATTATCGTGGATAATGAGTCTCAAGCCAGTGATTTATGGCTGAAATAGAATCATGATTTTTCCGCGCAAGATTCCTTTAACCAGATGTCCCATATAGTCGCAACCAGTGACTTCCACAACAATTATGATCTGTCGGGGTTTGCATTATGATTCCGTATATTGGTATCCGGACCCGCATTATATTTGATTGTTTTGCAACAAACTACCACGTATTTAATTTTATTTTCGTGTTATTGATCACAAATCAAATAATATGTTGTTTGCTGAACTAGCGAAATAACTTAGATTCTGAATAAGGGTTGTAGGACCTTCAAGTAGAATACGATTGTGTCACGGACCACAACAATCGGAATATGGTTTGAAATAGTGGACGGTGTGTGTGTGTGAGTTCTTAGTTCTTCTCAAAAAATGGAATACGACATATGGGCAGGGTAAGAAAAAGTCCCGGTAAGCGGCAGGTAACGCAGCCTTTCTGTCCCGCGTGGAAAAGACACGATACACACACAGCATAGGACCGCGACAAACAGGTTTGTGAATTGTTGATAAAATGATCCTCACGTGTTATTGGGGAAAAATGTGAAAAGACACGATACACACACATAGGACCGCGACAATACAGGTAAAGCTCTGATAAAAGCATCCCAGGGGAAATATGGAAAACATTACTTATCGTCAACAGAAAACCGTAGAAAAAGGCTGTGCCCGAACACTAGTCTGGGTTAATCGTAAAAAGTACTCGAGAACTCATAACACTCATCGCAACCTGCTAGACTATGACTTCCTCAACGCCATGTGACATCACACAGCACCTGAGAAACAACTGACGTTCAACTATACTGCTACCGTAGGGCAATTCAAACCAAAGCTTGGAATCCAAGCCAGCGACATTTATTCATTATCGATATTTATTTAGCGATATCCGACTAGCCAGTACGTGTATCTTATTAGATGTCTAGTGATGGGGTGTAATTGGCATCGACGCGCCTCTACACCTCAAGTAGCAGACAACCCATGTGAGGCAGACATAAATATATTGATCAATAAATCGATAAAGCGAAATAGAGCTTGGGAAGCTGCTTTTCAAGCCGCAAAAGTATCATTACAATGCTATGTGGTGGGGAGTGCGACGTCTCGCTGTGGCGCTCGCGCTAGTCGGTGTTATAAACAGCAAAGGAATCGGCGAATAAATAGTCAACAAAACAGGAAAAACGGAAATGGAACAAGCAGGAAGAGGGAGGAAATAAAATGAGGAGCAGGAAAAGAGAACTATGAAATAAAAATCGATGGACCAGGATAAAAAATTGGGTGAATTTCTGAATGCGATCTCTCAGCGAACATTCTCTTGAGATCTTGGAGGAATGCAAAGCTGCCAATCTGATCATTTCTTATCTTAAAACCTTGATAGAACTGCCTTTGATAAAAACTGACAAAACTGCTTATCAATTACCAAACCGGAAACTTATCAATCTGAACGTACTCCAATCACCAAAGAAGTAAACAGATACTTAACGACGAAACAACAAGTGAGTGAAAAAAACAACACATTGCATAACCACATTCTTTACGCTCTGTATTGTATTCATTATGTAAACATCATTTCAAATCAAACGTCAATGGGGAAAAGTTCAGTAATAAATTTGCGTCTGAAGGAATGTCGGTAATTCGTAGCCAACTTCTTACTGTAGTATTCGGTTAATGTAACCGCTGACAGATTAGAGAAAGATTAAGCAATCAACTGATTGGACTATTTCGAACGTCATTCATAATTGCCAATTGGAGATGTAAAGACATACTTGTATAGTGGTGAAGTAGATGTGACGTTGGAAATCAAATAGCATTACTTTTCTTTTGAGGCCTAGCTACTATCAGAATGAATGAAAGCAAATCGAGAACAAAAAAGTCATTCGAAAAAATTCGCATTTCACATTCCCTATCGCTACTCTAACTACTAAAAGAAGGTATAACCACGATACCAATAGGTCCTTATTTACGACATGGTAAAGGGTGAAGACATAATGATAAGAAACAACTTATGGAAAAAGTGGTTCGCTCGCCTTTACCTCAGACGAACCACTGCCTGCGGTCTTTGAATTCTAGTCAGCCAAGCCTAAAAATTTTGGAATTTTGTTAAGGATTCTCAAGATTACCCAAGCTTCCTTCTCCTCGCGAAGACCGTACCTCATAAAATTTCAAGGAGCAATTCATTGAAAAATCATCCTAACATTCGCACTACCACGCT